GTTTTTTTGGTTTGTTTTTTTTTTTTGAGTTGGAGTCTCACTCTGTCACCCAGACTGGAGTGCAGAGGCCACTCCTGGCCACCGCAGCCTCGCCCTGCTGGGCTCTGGCGATCCTTCCGCCTCAGCCTTCCAAGTAGCTGGAACTACAGGCGCGCGCTACCATGCCCGGCTAATTTTTTGATTTTTATTGTAGAGATGAGGTCTCGCCAAGTTGCCCAGGCGGATCTTGAACCCGCGGGCTCAGGCAATTCACTCACCTCAATCTCCCAAAGCGCGGGATTACAGGCTGAGCCACCGAGCCCAGCTCAATCCTATTTTTTAAAATGGAACATCTCCACCTTCCTTCTCACCACACGGAAGGATTCTTTGGAAATGGTTGGAGGTAGTTAAATCCTGTACAAGTAGATTTCATTGGCTTGTTTTTTGTCTTCCCAATATAATGTTCCCTGTCATTCAAAATTACTGATCTCTGAGCCTTATTAAAGCTGTACATTAAATAATTTTTTGTTGGTCATGGCATTTTTTTTCTCCATGAGCATTTTTAAATGTATGCACTAACTCAGTATTTCTTTTCTTACCCTCTCATCGCCTCACTTAACTCAAAGCTGTAGTTACTGACATGTGTTCCTCTGGCCTTTTCTCGTAGTACAGGGATCCCCTCCTCTTTTCACAGCTCTGTCTTAGAATCATCATTCTTCCAAGCCCAGCTACAGGAAGCACCTTTGTGAAGCTGTCCCTGCGCTGGTCCTGCCCGGACTCCACACCTTTTTGCTCCCTTCACGCTCACCTTAAGTCTCTTTGGAGACTTGTATTATTTTGTACCTGGTGTTATCAGTTCAGCTCACAAATACTTACAAAACTGCCCCCGCACCAGGCACTGGGATAGGCTAAGACTATGACCTTGAACAGTAGAAGCAGGTGTCCACCGCCCATGGAGCGGTCTTCTAGTGGGATCCTTGTGTTATGCTTATCTTCATTTATACCCTATTCCCCTCACTCCTAGTGAATCTCTTAAGGGCTCAGAAGAACCTTATTCCTTTTCACACCTCCTCCCAGGGCCCACCATAGGACTTGGGCATCTCATCAGGGCTACAAGAAGGAAATGTTATGTAAATGGAAGAGAAAGCAGTTTTATGAATCACTTTCTTTCAGAGAAATGGGAGACAAATAAATGAATAATAAAAAGCAAGGGAGTGAGGGAGAGGAAGGAAGGAGGGAAGAAGGAAGGAAGGATTTAAAATACTTTATTCTTTAATAGAAACACAGATAGCAATGGACAAGTCCTGCATGATCTTACTTAAGTGAAATCTAAAAAAGTTGAACTCATAAAAGCAGTGATTAGATCAGGTACAGTGGCTCAAACCTGCAATCCAAGCACTTTGGGAGGCTGAAGCAAGAGGACTGCCTGAGTCAGAGGGTTCAAGACCAGCCTGGGCAATATGGTGAGGCCTCATCTCTACAATAAATAAATAAATAAATAAATTAGCCAGCCATGGTAGCACGTGCTTGTGGTTCCGGCTACTTGGAGGGCTGAGGCAGAAGGATTGCTAGAACACAGCAGCTCGATGCTGCAGTGGCCATGAGCGCGCCACTGCACTCCAGTCTGGGTGACAGAGTAAAACTCCAACTCAAAAAAAAAAAAGCCACAACTAAAACAGTGATCACCAGGGGCTGCAGAGGTTTTAGGGGGCAGGACAGGGAGATGTTGGTCAAAGGGTACAAAGTTTCACTTATAAAATGAACAAGTTCTGGGAATCTAAGTACCCCATTGGTGGTGATAGAGGTGTTAATTAATTTGATTGTAGCAATCAGTATACGATCTATACATAAATCATCACATTATACACATTGAATGTATTCAATCTTTGTTACATATTTAAAAATAATAAAATGTGAATAAGCCAAAAAATACACCTACAATGATTTAGATATTTGAAACATTAGGCAGGAGTGTCAAAATACCTAGTATGAAAGGATAAAGTTTTGAAAAGTCAAGTTGAATGTTGGTAAATTAGAGGTGAATGAGTGTAATATCTGACTATCAAAGGAGAGGAGAAGGAGATAGAAAGAATACACATTTATGAGGCATTGTCATGTACATCAGTCCAACTAGTTTCTAAAAAAACTGTTCTTGTCCTTCTTTTGCCGCTATGAATACTGAAGCTCAGCTCACACGTGACAGAGTCAGAATATTAAATCCTTATATTAGTCTGTTCAGTCTTTCGTGACAAAATACCACAGACTGGGTGGTTTAAACATCAGGCACTTATTTTCTCAGTTTTGGAGGCTGGGAGTCTCAGATTAGGTTGCCACCATGGTTAAATTCTGGTAAGGGCTCTCTTCCTGGTTTGCACCACTAGCTCACATGGTGGAAACAAAGAGATCAAGGTCCCTGGTGTCTCTTGTAATAAGAGTGTTCATCCTACCAGACCAGGGCTGTATCCTCATGACCTCATTTAATCTCTGTTACCTCTCAAAGGCACCATCTCCTAATGCCATCACACTGAGGGCCAGGGCTTCAACACAGATATTTGGAAAAGGCACAGGCATTCACTCCATAATAATCCCCTTGGCTTGAATTTCTTGTTGGTTTTCCCAACACAGAAAATGGCAAGAACTTTGTATTTTTGCCTTTCAATTCCCACACATGTGCCTAATTGTCCTGGGCAACCCTAATCTGTTCAGCAGAGTAGGATTATGTCATATTTTGTTTTGCTAATGGAGATCCCCCAAAGCTATTTGTTGAGTTGGTGACCACAGTGAGCTTTCAGCAAACCTGACCAATCTGGGTTATGAAGAGAGGCGCTTGTTCCTGCATACCCACATTCAGCTTCTAAATGTTATAATAGATCATTTTCAGTTAATTTTCATTTTAAAGTTATACATTACTCCATGAAACCATTTTTTTTTTTTCTTTTGAACAAGAGACTGCTCGTATGAAAGAGCCAGGAAGAGATCTAAAGAGAAAAACGCATCTAAGGTTCTCTTAAGAAAAGTGAAACTAGGGCTGGGCATGGTGGCTCAGGCATGTAATCCCAGCACTTTGGGAGGCCGAGGCGAGAGGATTGCTTGAGTCCAGGGGCTCGAGACCAGCCTGGGCAACTTGGCGAGACCTCATCTCTACAATAAATCAAAAAATTAGCCAGGCATGGTGGTGTGCATCTGTAGTTCCAGCTACTTGGAAGGCTGAGGCGGGAGGATCGCCTGAGCCCAGCAGGTCGACGCTGCACTCCAGCCTCGGCGACAGAGTGAGACTCCAACGCAAAAAAAAAAAAAAAAAAAGAAAAGTGAAACTGAGTCAGAAGAAATGGTGTCAAATCTTGTGTTTCACCCTCAGGGCCCCACTGTGAAGCACATCCAGATGATAATGGAGCGGTTGCTGAGAAGGATCAACCGGACCGTGATCGGGATGAGCCGGCAGTCTCCCCACATTGTGAGTGTCTCTGGAGTGGGTCGCACAGCCCCTGTGGCTCCCACGTCTCTGCTGCCCATTGGGAGATCTTTGGGGCCAGAGGCTTGAGACTAACTTCGCCTGGACCCCTCATGCTGCAGTTAACGATCATAACCCCAAGCAGATCTTGATTCTGAGATGGATTTTCTATTGAAGGAAAAATATTCCAATATGGACCATCCAGCCCCTTTGGTTCAAGGAACAAAACAAACGTTTCAAAGAACTTGTAGTTAGGATGCTTGTAGAAAAAGCCAGTGTTGCTCTGGCCTCTTATTTTTCATCTACTGTGTCTAAATAGATGCCAGGTAAAAAGTATGATAGAGAGACCAGAGTTAACTTTGGAAAGACCAAGTAGTATCATCGTTAAAATGAAGTATCTTGGCAACCCCCTTGGGGCCCCTCCTGCTCTGGGAGTTTTTCTGTCTTCTCAAAAAAGTCCTGCTTTTAAAAAAAAAAAAAGAAACATCTTTGACCATCTATATTAGAAGCTAAGGCAAGATTTTAATTAGAGGACCTAGGATAAGAACTATCTCAAATGGCCTATTATAAATAAAAGCTACTCATTTATTCAACAAATATGTATTAAGAAACTGGGTCACGTGTGACGGTTCATGGTTGTAATCTCAATACTTTGGCAAACTGAGATAGGAAAATCACTTGAGGCCAGGACAGCAAGACCAGCCTGGGCAAAATAGCAAGACCCTGTCTCCACAAAAAGGAATGAAAGAAAACTATAAGCCAGGCACTGTTCTGGACACTGGAGATACACCCATGAACAAAACAGACACAAAATTACTGCTTTGGCCAGGCTCAGTGGCTCAGCCTGTATTCCCAGCTCTTTGGGAGGCTGCGGTGAGTGGATTGCCTGAGCCCGCGGGTTCGAGACCAGCCCAGGCAATTTGGTGCGACCTCATCTCTACAGTAAAATAAAAAATTAGCCTAGCATGATAGCATGCGCCTGTAGTTCTGGCTACTTGGAAGGCCGAGGAGGAAGGATCACTGGAGCCAAGGAGGTGGACACTGGGGTGGCCATGAGTTTGCCACTGTACTCCTGCCTGGGCGACGGAGTGAGACTCCTACTCAAAAA